CTGCCGACCACCCCGCGCGCCAACGGTCGCCGCCGTAGCGCGCCGGAAGTGGGCGTGGCCCGCGCAGTGCCCGGTGGGAAACGTAGTTCCGAGCTGGCCGCGGCGGCTCTTCGGCCGCCAAGCTTGGGATCGTCCCGGTCCCAGGTCGTGCCGGTGAGCCCCGCTCGGGGTCACTCGCTCCGGGATCGCGCCTGCCAGCTGAGTGACGGTAGACGCCGGGCCTGGTTTTGGCCGCAAGCACAAGCCACCCCGAGAACCGAACTCGCCCCAAAGGACTCCCAAATTGCCGGACCGCGCCCCAAAGGGTTCTGGGAGTCGGTACCAGGCTCGCAGCGCGCAGGCGCAGTGGTAGAGCAGAAGAGGGCACGGCCTACCATAGGGCGGGTTCTGCTGGGGGCGGGGCCTTCAGGGGGCGGGGCCTTGGGAGGCGGGGTCAGGGACGACAGTGCGGGAGCTTCGACCAACCTTGCCGCGTCCACTGTGACTCCGGGGGAGGCGCACGGCTGGGCAACGGGGAGTTCCTGCCAACTCCAGGCCACCAGCGTCTCCTCCTGGCGCACTGGCCGGGGCTGGGTCCTCTCCTGACACTAGCCGCACCTGGCTTCTTTGGTCATTCGCTTGTCACCGCCGCGGGGTCCCAGCGACAGCGACCACCCGTCAAGGCCGCCGAGGGCTCACTCCTAACGCAGGATTTCGCGGGTGTCTGTTGCCTGCACGTGCAGCGCCAGGCTGGGCGCTGACCTGGGGGGCGTCGGCCTGGGAGCCGAGGGCTGTCACGGGTGCGCAGCGTCACAGGTAAGTCCATCCTCACAGGTGAGTCCACCATTGCAGGTGCAGTCACAGGTGCCCCGCCCCATCGCAGGGGTCCCCACCGTCAGAGGTGTGCAGAGTCACGGGTGAGTCCACCATCACAGGTCAGTCCGCTGTCACAGATGCATGGCATCACGGGTGTCGCCACTGTCACAGGGGTTCCCCACTGTCACAGGTGTGCAGAGTCACAGGTGAGTCCAGCACCACTGGCGTGCAGCATCACATGTGAGTCTGCTATCACAGATGCATAGCGTCACGGTGTGGGCATCACAGGTGCCCCGTCATGGCCTGTGTCTGGATGTCCCCCACCCAAGCTTCATGAAGTCACAGGTGGGGCTCTTTCAGACGTGGCTACACCCAGAATATGTGATTGATTCATGGCGCAGTGCTAGGATTAAGGGTGGGTGGTTGCTAAATCAGCCCACTGATTGGTTTGGCTCCACCCTAATCCCCCTACCCTGGATACCATATAAGAGACAGAAAAAGGCTTGTCTCGCCCCATGCTTGTTTTGCTACCTTCTGCCCGCCATGAACTGTTTCTCCTCTGTGATGTCCCTCTGCCATGTGCTCCCCTGCCTTGGAACCAGCCAGTTATGGACTGAAACCTCTACAAACTGTGAGCTAAATAAACCTTTCCTCCTTTAACTTTGGGTGTCCAGTATTTTGTCTCAGCAACAATGAGGAAAGTAACTAAGACCACCCTGTCACAGACACACCGAGCACACACCCAGCCACCTATTCTCCTGACTCTGGACTGGTCCATTTTCCGAGGCCTTGGTGATGAAATTAAGATGACTTCCATCTCTGTATCCAAGGGAACCCAGAGCCACCTGCTGGGGAAGCATTTCCCCTGGACGCCTTCCTGTTTCCTGGAAAAAGCAGGTTTCAGGATTGGGCTCACCCAGCTGCCTCATAGCTGTGGTGACAGGGCTGGCTGCCCCCTGTGAGGCTAGCAGAACACTGCTTTCATTACTTTTGAAGAATCCACTGTAAAGAACTATATGTTCTTCACAGTAGGCAAAAGATTTCCAGCAAGGATGTAAGGATGTCATAAGTGTAAGGATGTCATAATCTTGGATGTCAGAGAGTTAACAAACAGAATGTACAAGATGACATATTTGACTTGGGACATAATTTTAGTTCAATGAGTTTAATTATCTAGGAAATACAGCAAAATATGCATTTTCTACAAAACCGTAACTTCTGATTGTGTATCTTCAGAGAGGGATTGTGGGCCTGCTTGGGGAGCCCAAGGGAGATTTTCAGGGGTGAGGTCCCAAGGATGCACATGTGCAAGACATCAGCAACAACAGCAGGCAGCATGGAGCAGAGCAGAGAGCCGGAGAGTAAGAGCTGCCTGTGTCTTTATTGTTATAATTCTTACACAGGTTGTTATCTCATATTTACAATCTTACATAGTGCTGTAACCAGAGCATGTGTGTTCACCTATGCTAAGTCATGGTTACCTAACTGTATCCCACTGTGTGCCTGTGCTAGACAAGTGGGGTCATGTTCTCAGGTGTCCTTAGACCCCCTTGAGCAGTCTGAGTTGCTCCCCACAGAGATTTTACATGCATGGGGCATAGGTCCTTCTTTTGGCCTGATTGTGCCAGCATGGACACAGCCCCATTCCTAGAACTGTGCCAGTCATTTAGTCCAGGAGTTCAAGACCAGCTTGGGCAAGAAAGTGAGTCACCCATCTCAAAAAAGAACAAAACAAAAACCCCAAAGGACTCAATGATGGCTAAGAGGGTACAGGAAAACAAATTCAGTTTCTGCCCTGTTCTCACAACACAGGACAGTTGTGTGACCTCAGTCACCGGACTGTGTGACATAAGGCTCTCCCTGCAAGCAATCAGTTGTGCAGTGGCTCCCAGCTGGGTGTCCTCTAATGCAGTTCAGCCTTGGGCCCTATCTACCTGTACGGTCTGCCCAGTCCTCTCCCACTGCACATGCTGATGACAAGCTGTAGGTTATTTATTTTAAGGACATGAAGACTTGGGCAAAATTTCAGCTAGACTAGAGGATAATTCCTGAGGCCATCTCTGTTCAAGAGAGGGCCCTGAGGTACCAGCCCAGATCACTGGTCCTGAGACATCTCTGTTCCACAAAACACACACCAGATCTTCGCACAAGAGTCAACGCTGTGCTAACTGTGTGCACCAGGGAGATAAGAGGGAGAAGCAGTTCAGGAGGGACTCTGCCTCATCACCTCGGCTAACAGTCCCCACCAGGGCATCAGTGTCCCTTGGGAGATGTGGGGACCGGGCCCACGGGCAATCCTGTTAACCAGAGAATTTTTAAGGGACCCTTGCTAAGCCGACATCAGCAAGACTGCCTCGAGTAGAGAAAGGAGACACCCACTAGCGTGGAGTGTGGCTTATCCTGGCTCAGCAGCTGACTGTGCTTCTCACGCTGGTTTCTCTCAGAGCCCAGGCTGCCAGGGGAGGAAGGCCCCTCGCTGAGGTCCTCCCTGCACTCGAGTCACCAGCGTGGCCCCAGCTTCCAGTTGTCCAAGCCCACGCCCAGGGCATAATGGGCAGCGTGTGCCCATGGTATAACTTACCATGTTCCTCACACTCAGGGTCCTAAGTGTTTTTCCACTAGTTGCCTTCTCATTGTTACGAATATACATGGCTAAGATGTACCAGATACTCTGTTTAGATTACATTCTGCAGGGCTGGGGACTTAGCTCAGCGGCACAGTGCCTGCCTGGCACGTGCAAGGTTGTGAGTTCGGTTCCCAGTACCAGAAAAAAAAAATAGATTACATTCTGCTGCATTACTTTTGATATAGTCCTATAAAATGGTTATTCCTGCTATTTCATACATAAAGGCAAACTCATTCTCTTCTTGGGTCTCTGTGTCATGGTCCCCCCCCCAACCCCCAGGGCTGGGGACTGGACAATGATTTTGTTTTGTTTGGTATTTGTTTTTAATTTTGAGACACAGCCTCCCTAAATTGCCTAAGCTGGCGCTGAATTAGCAATCCTCCCGCCTCAGTCTCCCAAGTAGCTGGGGATCACCGGTGTGTGCCACCACGCCCAACTCTGCTCCGTGCTGCAACCCAGGCTACAGGATAAGCTCTCACTCCCCAGTGCCCCTAGAGGCCAGGGTCGTCATCCTCCTGGCCTTCCCTTCCCTCTCGCCCAGGAACCGTGGAAGCTTTAGCACTCAATCCCGCCACCTTCGCCTGCACCCTCCTCTGCCACCCACATTTCAGAGGGTCGTCTGCTCTAGTGAGGAGCGTGAGCTTCTCAGCTGGGCTCTCTT